TGCCTACCAGCAATAAATAGCCATGAATTTAGAACTAACATGTAAACAATGTCATTACAATGTTATCATATCTTTCAATCAAATCCAATTTCATTCCTGTTTTATAGATGATGATATGAAATCATAGAAGATTCATTCCATTATTTTAACAAATGTCAAGACAGAAAGCAGACAATTAATTAGAATAAAACCTCTTGTGTGCCTTTGATCCTATCAACTCTGCCCTAATCAGCCTATCTTTTTCTAATCTTCAACCTCTTTATCTACTGGCACCTTCCCTACTGCCTTCAAATATCCCCCAAGTCTTCACTCCATCCTTAAAAAACCTTCACTAGAGGCTACCATCCCTTGAAGCTATACTCACTCTTATAGATATCTCTTTCTCAGCCAAACTCTGAAGCAAAGTTGTCTATGTCCCATATGCTCCTCAATCTGTAATCTGGTTTCTAGACTAATCACACATCAGAAATTTTCTCCAGTTACCAATGATCCCTTAATTGCCAGATCTGCTGGTGTTTGTTCAATCTTTGTCCTTTCTCCAAGTATCTATCTGCTGCCTTCACAAGACCTGACCCCACCCTCCTCCTGGACTGACTCTCCTCTCTCAGGACTTTCATAATACTACTCTCTCCTGGTTCTACCCCTACTTCTCTGGCCCCTCCCCTTTGCTGGTTCATCATCCAAATCATGTCCTCTCACTGTGGGTGTTCCCCAAGGCTCTGTCCTAATCCCCTTACTCCTCTCTCTACACTTTCTCTCTCCGTGAACCTCATCAACTCCCTTGAGGTTAACTATCATCTCTATGATTACTCCTGTATCTTTATATCCAGCCCCAGTCTCTCCTATGTCAAACTATTGGATGTCACCTCAAATTCAACATGTCCAAAACAGAACTCATTAACTTCTCCAACCGCCCACCCCCTCTTCCAAATTTCACCTCTTTCTTTCAAAGGCACCAGTATTCATTCTTCTAGGCTCTCAGGTTTATAACCTTATCTCTCCCTCACCTCACATACACATCCAAACCATTGTTAAATCTTGCCATTTTTTTTCTTTGCAGTCTCTCAAATCTGATCTCTTCTCTCTACTCACACAACTACCACTTTAGTCTAGACCTTCATCTTCCTCTAGTCTAAATTATTTTAACAGCCTCCTAATTGGTCTTTCTGTTTTCCAGTCTCTCACCACTTCAATCAATCCATCACACTGCTATCAAAGGGAGTTTCCTCAAACAGAAATCTGATCATAGCACTTCCCAATTCAATCAACTCCAACGGCTTTATACAGCCTCTACAATCAAATGTAAACTCCTCTGCTTGGTGTTTTAAAGCCTGTTTGCTACTTTGTCATAACCTATATCGTATATTATTCACTCTTCCACTGTGTGTAATCCAACCAAACTGTCCTCTCTCTTCCTCTCTGATGACATTCCATCTCCCATCTCCAATTTTTTGCACTGGCAGTCCCTAGACCTGGAATACACTCTTTCCCTCCCTCCTTACCTCCACCTCAATATCCCTTTATCTTCCTTCAAAACAACCCAGGCAGCTCCTACATGAAACCCTTCCTGCTCGCCTCAACTGAGTCCCCCCTCTCACTAACCCATATTTATTCTATCAATCTGTCTGTGCTTTGTATTTTTATATCCATCAGTCTCTCTGTCTGTCTGTATCTTTGTTGTATCTCCCATCAAAATGTAAACTCCATAGCAATAAGGATTATTTCACTTAGCATATTTGTGGCACCAGCTTCAAGCACTGTGCCTGACATATAGTAGGGGCTTAATTAATACTCGCTGTTTGACTGACGGGTTGATAAAAACATTCAGAGTTGCTGTGGTCATTGTATTAGACATGGAAGCCAAAAGAAAAAAAGTAAAAAGTCCCACTCTCACCAGCTGATTTTAAGAATTTTTGATGCACCGATTTAAACACTGTAATTGAGCTAAGGCCAACACTTTTTTAGGTTGGGCCTTTGACATGATAATTATATAAACAGGAAACCTCTCTCCTGGAACAAATACTGAGAGCAGGTGCTGCCCTCCTTCACAGGACAGGAGCGACCATTTCCTCTACCCTTGTACTGTGGGCACAGTTGATAGGAGGGACTAACTCTCTGAAAGTTCCACTTCAAGAGGTGGCCACTAAAGAAACACATTGCTTGTGTATTGCTTATTGTGTATTGTGTATTGAATATTGCTTATGAAGGTAATGGATGAAAAGAGACCAGCTTTGGTGCAGCAAAAATGCTATGAGCAGTGCCATGAGAAGATGAGGAGGAGGAAGAGGCAGCCTGGGACAGACTGGGGTGCCATGATCACCATGATGTCTTGGCCTTAGATCTCTTCTCTATTTGAGTGGGTGAAAGGTACTGGGGAGAGGGGAGGGGGACTTGTCATGGTACTGATACTGGCCTGGATCATGAAGGGCCTCAAGTTACTACACAGGCCCACACATATCTATGTATATCAGTATACGGTGAAAGCAATGAGGATGCCACCTTGTTGAAGTGGAAGAAAAACTACATTTAGCATCAGAGCATTGGGGTTCAATGCCCACCTCAGCCACTTATTCCCTGAATGTGTAGCCTTGGGCAACCCACTTCACACCTTTGGGCCTCAGTTTCCTTATCTGTAGAATAAGAGAAAATGAACTAGCTGGCCTCTAAGGTCTCTTACACCCCTGTATTGTGATTCTATAATTAGATTCAATCCATTACTACTTATCTGAATTTTACCCCATGATTTTGTTCCTGGTTCCTCATTCCTGAAGAAGGCTGAACCTGCAGCGATAACAGCTATACCAACAAAACGACAGAGCGCTCCTGGTGCCCTTGTCATGCTGGTTATTTGCAGCCAGATCTACAGGGCTCAGTTACAGAGTCTTTGCCCATTTTCTAGCAAAAGTAGGAGAACATTTTAGCCTAAAGTGGCTCAACTCTGAGATGCTGCCCTGTACATTTTTAAGAGCCTGGGTACCCTCTATTATTGGGGGGGAAATGAAGAGATGCTTTAAAAGTGGGCTATGTCCTCGACTGGAAGAGGGAAATTCATTCCTAGGTGACTATCAAGGGTCTGAGACAAACTTCTGAATTATGTCTAAGGACTCTCACACAGCTCAGGATACTGAAGTTCTTATGATAAATACACAACAGGGGCAGTTAGGTGGTGCAGTGGGTAAAGCACCAAGCTAGAAGTCAGGAAGATCTGAGTTCAAATGTGGCCTCAGATATTACTAGGTGTGTGACTCTGGGCAAGTTATTTCACTCTTATTTACCTCAGTTCCTCATCTGAAAGATGGGGATTCATTTGAGAAGAAAATGGCAAACCACTCCAGTATCTTTGCCAAGAAAACCCTATGCATAGTCGGACACAACTAAACAACAGAGAAGAGGATCTTTTGGGAGTGTATAATTAAGTTGGGCACAGTGGATAGAGTCAGGGCTAGAGTCAGGAAGACCTGAATTCAAATCCAGCCTCAGACACTTCCTAGCTGCATGATACTGGGGCAAGTCACTTAACTCTGTTTACCTCAGTTTCCCAATCTGTAAAATGAGCTGGAGAAGGAAATGGCAAACCACTCCAGTATCTCTCCCAAGAAAACCCTAAATGGAGTCACATAGAGTCAGACAAGACTGAAAAACAACTGAAATGAATTGGAGAAGCAGAACTGCCAGGAGACTGAAGCTCTGGAGCACTAACAGTCAGAAAAGCATGTGGGTGCTGCTATAGTTTTTAAGTGCTGGAGGGGAGAAAGCTCCCTCTGCAGCTCTCACAGCTGCTGTTACTGCCGCCTAGACTGCCAGCAGAGGGATCAGAAAGTCCACATAGTAGGAAACTGAGGCCCAGTCAGTAGGAGAATGTTAGTGCAGTAGAAAGAGTAGTATGTTCAGAGTTTCAGAACTGGCTCTGCCACTTTTTCTATGCAACTCTAGGCAAATCACTTAACCTCTCTTGTCCTCCGTTTCCTCCTATGCAATATGAAAGTGTTATATTAGACAACCTGTCATAAGGTCCCTCTTCAGCTCTACATCTGTTATGAACAAGGCAACAAGGTCCAAGCCTAGGATTTTTACTGACCTCTCATACACTCACCAGGGGACCTGTCCTAGGGATATTGCAATAATGGGGGAGGGGGAGAACTGGCATTTACCGATAAGCACTTTTACAAATATCTCATTGCATCTTCATAGGGTTGCTATTAGCACCTCATTTTACAGATGAGGATACTAAGGCACAGCTTAAGTGACTTGCCCAGGGGTCAAACAGCTAGTATGTATCTGAGGATGAATTGGAACTCAGGTGTTTCTGACTCCCAGGCCCAGAATCCACTTGGCCACCTGATAATAGCTTCAATCTAGCAAGGCTCTTCTGAATGGTGTCAGTTGAGCGCTCTCTCCCATCTTCCTTTTCCCAGAGGAGGGCGTCAACAACCAACGGGATGCCATGAAACTCTTCCCGAGAATAGCCTGTTTGACATCAGCATGTTTACTCCAAACCCACCTGCAGCACGTTCAGCCTTTAGCCAGCTAAGAATTCTCCTTGCCTCTTTCTCATAACCCCCTGAAAAAGCTGCCCTTAACTGGTTCTGCCTTTTTATGTTGTTGATACTGCAGCATTATTATGATACTGCAACTATTCTTTAGAATCCCAGGTCAGAAAACGTCACCACCACAAAATGAGATGACTGAGAAGGACATAAAAGGAGCAGACTGAGAGAATAATCCTGAACTTTTCTAATAATCCTGCACACCCACAAACACACATACACACACGAACTCACACCAACCACTTTTGCTTGTTTTCATTTCCTTTATCAAGTGCATCAATTTCACCCCCAGACCCCACCTTCTCCCCTACCCCAAAGAGGCAGCCCAGCTGTGATGCAGGTAGTCAGGTTCAGTTTCACTGGGAGGAAGCAGCTAGAACGGGAATTGTTATTAAGAGCTTCCCTCCCCTCCCACCCCACGCCACCCCATCCCTAGGGTCCCTGCTAACTTACCAAAAAGATGACGCTGAGCAGCAGAAGCACTGTCTTGGAGGTGATCATGCCACAGTCCATGGTGACTACGGGCGTTGGGGCCAACATCAAGGTCAGTGATGTGGCTGCCTGCCTGGTACAGAGAAGTCTGTGTCGGGTTTCTAGGCTCCCACTCTTCTCAGTTTCTTGGCTGAGTTTGAGCCTCATTCAGTCACATGATTTACGTATCATCCTACCCAGTCACATGCTTCCTAATGCACAGAATAAAACAAAACAATCACTGTCCAGGTCAGGACACAGCACAGTTTCTCATCTTTGTTGCCGTTTTGCTCTAAAACAGAGAGCTCTGAATGAAATCAAGAAACTCCCATGGGCAGTGCCACAAAGTAACCTCAGTCTGTTCCAATGTCAGCCCTATCCAAGAATAGCTTCATTTACCTTCAGCTGTATGTGATTAAAAAAACAAATCAATCAACCTTTGCATATTTCCAAGAATGTGACAAACTAATTAATGGTTATAATAACTGAAAAGTCAGTGAAGATACATAATAATTTTTTATTTAAAAAAAAATACCCAATTTCTCATTCACGTATTTCCAAGAATGTGACAAACTAATTAATGTTGCAATAACTATAAAGTCAGTGAAATATATAATAATTTTTATATAGAAAAAAATCCCCAATGTAACAAACTAAATAATGGTTGTAATAACTGTAAAGTCAGTGAACTATATAATAAATTTTTTATTTAGAAAAACATCCCCAAATGTAAGTAATGGTTGTAATAACTGTAGGGTCAGTGAAATACAAAATAAATTTTTAGAAAGAAAATCCCCAAATTCTCCATCTATAAATATTTGAAAGCCTCATGAATTAAGACAAATAAAAATATATAATAATTTTATAAGTCAAAGTATCTAAGAATTACAGACTGATCCACTAAGTCTGTCCCTTTCTTGTCTCCCCTTACTAGGCAGTGAGAGTATTACCCCTCCTTGAGTTGTTATTGTGGTGTAGGGGACTGGGAAGAAGTCAGCTCAGGGATATTGATATTGGATAAGGTAACAGGATATGATGGGAAGGGCACTGATCTTGGAGTCACATGACCAGAGTATGTGCTTTTCCTTCAGGATATCATCTGACCATGTCTTCCTTCTACATGTACTCCACCTCTCACTCCCCACCCCCAGCTCAATGAACTCTGTAGCTCCCAGATCAAATATAAAGCTCTTCATAACCTGGCCCCTCCTGCCTCTCCAGCCTTTTTACACCTTTATCCTACCCCTTCCACATGAACCTAATGCTATTGCTCCCATTCAACACTCTTCTCCCCACCCTGTACACTGGTTCTTTTCCCACACCTATATAATGCTGTCCCCTCCCTCCTCACCTCAACCTGGAGGTGTGCTGGAGTTAGCTCCAACTAGTTTTCGCTAGAGTTGACTGTTAGAAATCAGTGTGAGTATCTACACCTCAGAAACCATGCTACAGATCAGAACTTGATTTATGGTTTTGTTGATTTCTAGACTTAAGAAAATGTTAATATGAATTAAACTTTAAAGTGTATCCTATGCTACATCTTCTTTTCCCAGAGAGACAGTTGTTAAATATTTTACACCCTTGTTCCATCTCTTAGTTTCCCTACTTCCCTCAAGTCCTAACTTAAATCCCAGCTTTTACTCAAGGCTTTGCTTGGTCCACCCAGGAGCTAGTGCTGAGATGACCTCCCTTCTACCTTGGATAGAGAGATAGAAAGAGAAAGAGAGAGAAAGAAAGAATATGTAGATAGATAAATGTAGATATATATTTATAGATATATATTCAGATATATTTATAGATAAATATAGATATATTTGTCTATATCTATATCTATCTATACATTTATCTATCTATATCTGGTATGTATCTGTGGTTATTTACATGATTCTGTTGTTTCTCATCATAAACTCACTGAGGGTAGGGATTATTTTTATCCTTCTCTGTATGCCCAGCACTTAGCCCAGTCCCTGGTACCTAATAAGAATTTAATAAATACTTCTTCATTGATTGGATCCTGGCTCTGCAACTTACTAACCTGTGTGGTATAGGCAGAGACAATCAAATGGAAAGCTTAGGTGTGGGTTTGGGGTTATGAGGCAGCAGGTGGAGTCCCACAGTAAAATAAGTGTACATGCATGCACAGCATAGGATCAGAGATAGAGACCTGGAAAGGGCATTTGGAGATTTAGTCCAACCATTTATTTTACAGAAGAGGAAAATGAGTCCTAGAAAGGTGAAGTGATTTGCCTACCATCACACAGGTAGTATATGATAGAGCTGGGATCTGAATCCAAGTCTTCTGTTAGCATCCTTTCCATATTAATATAGACAAACTAGGTGGCATTGTGAATAGAGCACTAGATCTGGAGTCACAAAGAACTGAATTCAAATTTGGCCTTATCAACTAGCAGTGTGGCACCCTGCCCTCCCTGCCGTGGAAGTCACTTAACCTGTCTGCCTCAGTTCCCTCAACTGTAAAATTGGGAGAATAAATGGGGGTCTAGGAGTCCCTCTCTTTAAATTTGCTCATTAATTATGAAATGGGGCAGACATGCTCAGTTCTTTGGGTGCTCACTGGAAAGACCATGATGGCAGTAGGCAGTGAGACTGTAATCACACTTTAATAAGACACAGAGGGCATGATTAAAACAACTTTGAGATATTAACTCACACCTATCAGATTGAATAAAATGATAGAAGAGGAAAATGACTAATGTTGGAGAGCATGTGAAAAAAATGGAACATTAATACATTGTTGGTGGAACTGTGAACTAACTGATGCGACCATTGTGGAGAGCAATCCAGAATTATAAGAGTTATAAAACTGAACATACCCTTTGACCCAGCAATACCACACTATTAGGTCTGTTTCCTAAGGTGATCAGGGGAAAAGGAAAAGAACTCACATGTTCTAAAATGTTTGTAGCAGCTCCTTGTGGTGGCAAAGTACTAGAAATTGGGGGAGGGGGTGCCCATCAATTGGGGAATGACTGACCAAGTTGTGGTATATGATTGTGATGGAATATTACTGTGCCATGAGAAATGATGAGCTGGTGGATTTTAGAAAACCATGGAGGATTTGCATGAAATAATGAAAAGTGAAGTGAGCAGAATCAAGAGAACATTGTATACAGTAACAGCTATACTGTTTGAAGAATAATTGTGAACAATCAAGTTATTCTGAGTACTATAAAAACTCAAATCAATTTAAAAGACCCTATAAAGAAAGATGCCATCCATTTCCAGAGAAAAAACTGATAAATAGAAGTATGCATAGTATGGTTTTACATATATTTATAAATCTGTGTCAAATGGTGGCCTTCTATAGTGGGGTGGGGAAGGAGAGAGGGTTCAGCATTTAAAATGTAACAAGAAATTAAAATTTAAAAAATAAGGCACAGAAGGCTTAGGGACAAACAGTACAGAAAGTGCAGAGACAAGTGGCAAAAGTGGGGTGGATGCAGAGCCAGAAGCCATAGGGATAAAGTGGTGAAGGAAGGCAGATAGGTCAGTGTAAGGAAGAAACTCGGGAGGGGAGAGGCGCAGAGAATACTCACATAACCCAGTGAGGAGCACTCGGAAGCATGGAACTCATGGAGATGGACAGGTGCTCAGAGGGCGGGAATTTGGGGTCTCATTTTTATAGGATTTGGGGGCGGAGGAGGGGAGAACTGACTAACTCTTTCTCATCTGTACCACTTGAGGGTTAGTTCATTAACATATCCAAATCATCTCAAAGTTGTCAGTAAACCTTAAAAGTTAACATACCCACGGCACCTCAAATTTATCAGCACCTGTTGGTGTTGTGCTGGTCTTACTGCAGATATCTAGAGTTTATATGAGATTTACATATCATAGGACTGAAAAATCCGGATAGCAAAGTTTAGATGGCTTCGTCTGATTTAGCACTTGTTATTACCAGGTTGTAATTTTTGGTTAATACATGATACAGTTTGATCTTTGGGACGGTCTGTACTTGACTTTAGGTCACCCTTTGCAATCTTATTTCTTGCTATTGTTACTTTATACTGTCTACTTGTAAACTTATTACACTGACTAAAAGGGGAGATGGAGAGTGGTCAGGGGGACCAGAACAAGATACAATTTTATTTATTTAATTAATTAATTTTAGGTAATGGGGTTAAGTGACTTGCCCAGACAGCTACCAAGTGTCAGGTGTCTGAGGTCACATTTGAACTCAGGTCCTCCTGACTCCAGGGCTGGTGCTCTATCCACCATGCCACCTACCTGCCCAAGAAACAATTTTAACACAACCTCCCAGTGTTGTTGTAAGGATCAAACAAGATAATATTATGAAGTGCTTAGCACACAGTAGGTGTTTAATCAACACTTGTTTCCTTTCTTCCTAGTACTTTAACCTCTCACAATAATACATGTTCCCCAGACATCTAACAATATGTCCCAACAGCACTTTATATTTCTGTCACCCACAAATTTAATCTGAAACTCTTCTTCAATCTATTGGGATTTTCAGCCTGTACATCTATCTTTTGGTTCTAGTAAGTACTTCTAATTGCATATTACATGAAGTTATTCCTTAATATCTTTCCTAAAATTCCCCCATTCAGGGGCAGCTAGGTGGCGCAGTAGATAGAGCACTGGCCTTGAAGTCAGGATGACCTGAGGTCAAATCTGACCTCAGACCAAACACTTGACACTTACTAGCTGTGTGACCCTGGACAAGTCATTTAACCCCAATTGCCTAAAAAAAAAAAAAAAATTCCCCCATCCAAGCTTTGAGTGTTACTTAATTCAGAGTTGGATGAGACCCGAAAGATCTAGTTCAACACCCTCATTTTGCAGAGAAGAAAACTAAGGCTGAGATATGTGACTTGTTCAAGGTCACACTGCTATGTAACTAGCAGAGGAGGAATCTGAGCCCAGATCTTTCTGATTCAGATTTAACCTTCTTTCTACACAACATCCTGACCCTAGCTCTAGCATGCTAGGACTTAGTGACCAATAATAGCTAACTAACTACTATTTATAACAGTGCAATTTAGGGTTTATAGAAAGTACTTCACAAATACTATTTCATTTGTTCCTCTTAGTGACCCTGGAGATGTAGGTGCTATTATTATTATTATGCCCAGCTATTTTACAGATGAGGAAACTGAGGCAAAACAGGGTTAAGTGACCCTAGGCAAGTCACTTAACTCTGTTCACCTCAGTTTCCTTATCTA